TCTCCCTTTCTCCCTCCCCCTCCCCCCCCCCTTCTCCCTCCTCCTCTCCCTCTCCCTCTCCCTCTCTCCCTCCAGATGGATGGATAGATTACAGACAGACAGGTAGTTAGCAGAGCTGTCATTAGAACCAGGCCCCATTCATGCTAGGTAAGCACATGCTAGACAGGTGCCCTATCACTGAGCTCCACCTGCTACCTGCCTTGTTTTAATCTCCTTAAACAATTCCATAAACAAAGGAGAAAGTCAAAGGGATTAGGTTTATGGGGACAGTGTATCTTAGCAGTCACAAGGCCCCCGGGTTCAATCCCCAGTACCTCACTGGGGAAATGGCTACAGGCATAGGACCCAGCCTTGCATAGCTTCCTGAAGGAGCCTAGCTTCCTCCTGGCCTGGCTTCCTCCTTCTAGCATATCTTTCCCTCTCCTTCCCCACTCTGCCTCCTTTTATGGAGTGACTCCGCACAGGCGTGTGGGAGTGTGGGCATCAGACCTGCTGGAGTCCTGGGCTTGGTGCCCACAGGGGATTAGGTTTGTAACAAAGTGAGGAGTTGGCAACAATGGCCTCATCCTTTCCAGAGTACCTGAAGGAGAAGCTGGAGCACCATGTGCAGCAGCTGCAGATCGTGAGGGTGGTGCGGCAGGAGGAGCGGAAGGGGCTCATCACTGCCCGGCTGCTGGGGGCCAGCGTGGCACAGGCCGAGGTGCTCACGTTCCTGGATGCCCACTGTGAGTAGAGAGATGTCCACCTGGTGCCAGGAGGCCTGGGCAGCCTGCCCTTTGTCCCTGGCAGATGAAGGGCTGGGATTGTCCTGTTCTGTTTCTGGAGTAAAGAGGCTTGCGACTCTCCTCCACTTCTTTCCCTTTTGCACCTTGGGCCCAGGGATGGTTCCTGAGGGGACACAGCCATAAGGTAGTTGATGACCCTGAAGAGCTGGCTGGCCGTGTTCTCTGGAGCCTCATTTGTTTATCCCGTCCCCTTCCCTAGAGAGACTTGGGTCCTCACCTGGAACTGCCTTTGTGTGGTACTTTTCCAAACACCTCTCCCCATGAACTGTTCCTGAAGAACAAAAATACAAACTACAAATAGGGAAAGTAGACTTGGATCAGGAACACTGGTTTCCTTCTGACTCTGCCACTGGCATGAAAGTTCACGGCCACCCTGGCTTACACAGTGAGTTCCAGGCCAGCCAAGAAAGAGAGAGAGGGAGAGAGGAAGAGAGGGAGAGGGGAAGGAAGGAAGGAAGGAAGGAAGGAAGGAAGGAAGGAAGGAAGGAAGGAAGGAAGGAAGGAAGGAAAAAGAATCTCAAAAGATAATTCTTTTAAAATTTCTTAATTTCATTTTATGTGTTTGAGTGTTTTCCCAGCATGTATGTACGTGCACTACATTCATGCAATGCCCACAGAGGCCAAAAAGGGGCATCAGATCCCCCTGGAACTGGAGTTAAGGATGACTGTTAGTCACATGTGGGTGCTGAAAACTGAACCCTAGTCCTCTGCAAGAGCAGCCAGTGCTCTTAACCACTGAATCGGCAAGATTGATTCTAACTGTAGAATTAGAACTGGAGGTTGACATGCAAATGCGGCGGAAGAGGGTAAGCCATTCTGAAACCCGCACTCAGTGGAGAGCTGGAACCCTGAAGTCCCCACCCAGGACCTAGTGTTTTGCATTTGATTTGGGTTGGCAGTTTTGCTCCCCCAAGACTTCCCTTCTCCCTTCCAAAGCTGCTTCTACCTTTCAAGAGCTGAAGGAGACGGTTCTTAAGAGATGCTCTGTGCTTGCTAAAGCTGTGTAGCTTGCTGTGGGTATCTGCCTCTGATTCTTCTGGGTCTTTTCTGAGGATAAAGGGCTCAGCTGTGGGTGGACCCCTGACTGCCACCTCCTGGTCTGGGTTTGCAGGTGAGTGCTTCCATGGCTGGCTGGAGCCTCTTCTGGCTCGAATCGCTGAGGACAAGACAGCGGTGGTAAGCCCGGATATCGTCACCATCGATCTTAACACTTTCCAGTTCTTCAGGCCTGTACAGAGGGGCAGAGTCCACAGCCGTGGCAACTTTGACTGGAGCCTTACTTTTGGCTGGGAGACTCTTCCTGCACATGAGAAGCAGAGACGCAAAGATGAAACCTACCCTATCAAGTAAGGGCCATGGCCTGGTGAGCCCCTACCCTGACCTCTACCCACTCAGCTCTCAGTGCTTTGTCAAACATTCGACAACATTTATTTAAGTCTCACTCCCTATGAGGTAGGCCACGTGGTTAGACTGTTTTACAGGTAAGAATATAGAAGCCCATAATGGTAAACAGGTGACTTCAGATTCTGCAAATGGTATAACAAGGATTTTCATCGCAGTCTGACCCAAAGCCTTAGCATGTTCCATACCACCTTATACCATGACAGCTTGCTCTTACTTGCCACTGGTCATCTGCCAGGCTTTAACATCTTCCCTCACTCCTTCCTCCCTCCCTACACCTAGGCCACAACTTCTGCTGACAGAGTGGGTAAGAGATGGTGGGTGGAGGCCTTTGTAATAGGTAGGGGTGGCGCCGACTTCCCATGCCAGAGTCTTTGAACAGATTCAGAATATTTTAAGGAAATAGAAGCTGGGCCTGGTGGTACATGCCTGTAATCCCAGCTCCTCAGACAGGGGATTGCAATTTCAAGGCTTGTCTGGGTTACTGTCTGGGTTACTGAGTTCAAGGCTAGCCTGCGCAATTCAGAGAGACTCTGTTTGAAATTAAAATTTTTAAAGTGCTGAGAAATAGCTCAGTGGTAAAACACTTGCCTAGTATGTATAAGTCCCTGGGTCTAATCCTCAATAAGGAGAGAAAGGAGAGAGAGAGAGAGAGAGAGAGAGAGAGAGAGAGAGAGAGAGAGAGAACTTGTAGCAGTGGCAGTCTGTGGCTTTGCCAGGCACATAGATATAGTCTGTTGGTGTTCTTCTTTGGGGTTTGGGTTTTAGTTTTTTAAAACTGTTTCAAAATGCAAAATTTAACTGAACCTGGATGTACACACTTATAATCCCAGCTTTGGAAGGGAAGACAGGAAGATCAGAAGTTCAAATTCAAGGTTTAACCTTGGCTATATAGCTCAAAGCCAGCCTGGATTATATGAGGACCTGTTTTGTTTTTTTTTTGTTTTTTTTTTTTGTTTGTTTGTTTTTTGTGGTTTTTGTTTGTTTGTTTGTTTAAAAAAAAAAAAGCAAAAAACATTATTTGCCATAGAGTCTTCTGAAAACAAGTAGCCAGGCCAGATTTTGCCCCAAGGCTGTAGCTCCTGAGCCACAGATAAGTACTTGGAAGCTAATGTGATATTTAAAGCTCATAGGGCCTTGCCTCTCTTGTTCCCTGCCTGCCTGCCCAAACCCCTGCAGATTGATTTTTTCCTCTCTCTCTCTCTCTCTCTCTCTCTCTCTCTCTCTCTCTCTCTCTGGTGTGCATATGTGGGGACACAAGTGCAGGTGTGTTCGTGCGCATGTAGAGGCCCAAGGTTGTTGTCAGGAATCATCCTCAGAGTTCCACCTTATTCACTGAGGTAAGGTCTCTCAACCAAACCCAGAACTCATTGATATGGTTAGGGTTGCTAGCCAGCTTGCTCTGGGGATTTCTGCCTTCCAAGGCTAGAATTACAGGCAGACCTCCACACCCACCTAGCATTTATGTGGGTTCTGGGAATCTGAACGCTGGTCCTCACATTTGCACAACAAGCACTTTAAGCACTGAGCCATCTCCCTAGCCCCCAGGTTGCTATTTTGACCCTCATCTCAAACCAAAGCATCTGGAGTGACTTTGAGAATACCCGATGGTTTTGGATTCCGTGTGCCTTTGTTCTTCTGTCCTGATCAGAAGACTTAGGAGACAGCTAGACATACCTGAGAGGTGGGGAGAACTGGGGCTCCTCCCCCTCCACATGCTCCAAATCCCAAGAAACAATGCACAGTTTCTATGAACAGGGCTCAGGTTGATGCACGGGAGAGGGATCCCCAGATGAACAGCTAGCTGTTCTGTCTCCATTAGGACTACAAGAAAGCTGGATGTGGTGGCTCATACCAGTAGATGTAGTACTTGGGCTGCTGATGCAGGAGGATTATTATGGATTCAAGGCCTGCCTGAGCTACATAGTTCCACGAAAGCCTGGACTATAAAATGAGACCCCATCTCAAAAACAAAAACAAAACAAAACAAAAAAACCAGGGCCTAGAGAGATGATTTAGCAGGTAAGAGCATTTCCTGTTCTTGCAGAGGACCTGAGTCTGGTTCCCAGCACATACAGCCAGACACACTACAAAAAATGGCCTGTAACTAGCTTCAGGAGGATCTGAAACCTGTGGTTTCCGAGGGCACCTGCACTCCCGTGCACATGCCCACACACATATGCATAATTTAAATTTTTTTAAAGGGGGAGGAAAAAGAAAAGACAGGAGAGGAAGGAATCAGAAGTCCCTCCTGACCCTCGTCTTGTCTCATAGAGGCTTTGTTTAACATATACAGCAACAGTCCCTACCCTGTCCAGGCTGGGGCCAGGTACTCTACAGCACGGTCGAGGGCAGGGCACCTGGTGGGCTCTCATTACTGATGTCCATGAACTGTCCAACTGGAGGACAAAGCTTCAGTGTTTGAGGATGAATTTGCTGCTTGGTTGAGGTGCCCTGGCAGCACACATGGCTTGCTAGAGGCACTTCATATGGTGGCCCTCCAGGAGCACTGCTACTGGTACCTCACACCTTCGCTCTCAAAGCTAGCAGATGGCTGAGAGGAGAGCTAAAAGACCCAGGGATCCTGGGAAGTAGGTCGGGAAATATAGGTGTTTATTAGAGGCTGCCCATTGGGGTGGGTCTACAGTGACATTCTTCCGCATAGCTAATTTGTCAGTGACTCCCTCAGTCTGGAACCTCTCAGAGATGAGGCAGGTCTTGGTGGGGAGACTATCAAGAGTGGGTTAGCTTCAGAGTTCTCATCTGGAGCTCTAAGGTTCTCTGAGCCCTCCTGGTGCTACTTTGGCTGGCTTAGGACCCCTAGGAGAGGACAGAACTAGTGACAGGAAGCCAGCCCAAGCATAAGGACTTCCCAACTGAAATTCCTTCCAGAAGATGGCAGCTAAGAGCCCCATGAGGGGACAACAGCAGGCACAGGGTGGGCTCCTGTGAAGTCACCTTGATACATTGGTCTAGTGCACATTGGTTGTATCTAAGGCACTTAGGTGGACTTGAAGGTTCAGAGTTTCTGCTTGGTTGTATCCTAGGAAGGTACCCCTTGAGGGCAGCAGAGCCCCATCTAGGCCAGCTAGGCCCAGGCCCATAAACCACCAGCCCCCCTGCTCCCCCTAGCCCTTTCCCTGCCTCCCCCAGCCTCCCACTCTGCTTCTCTTTGTCCGCTTGGGTACCCTAACCCTTCTAGACCCATTAATGAGCAGCCTGGTGTCTAAGTTCTAGGAATGAGATGTTTTTGTCAGCTTGTTTTGACTTGGGCCTGTGCCTCCCTGCCTTGTTTGAGAAAGCCAAAATCTTTTGATAGTTTTCGTACAGCACAGCCCCTCATCTTGCCCTTGCTGTCATCCCACTGTGGTGCCGGGGTACCTCTTATCAGTGTCCCCTGCCCAAGGCAACTGGCAGCTTTTCCTACAAGGTTAAGTTTCTCAGGCAGCCTAAAACGAGATTAGGCTTCTGCTCATACTGTGGCCTTATAGTCCCTGAAGGGACAAGGCCCTGACACAGAATGGGTCAACCCAGCTGATAACCTGCTCTGAATCCTGCCTTGTCTTCAGAATCAGAGTGTGTGTGTGTGTGTGTGTGTGTGTGTGTGTGTGTGTGTGTGTGTGTGTCTTACAGGGGCAGGGAATGGTCTCTGAAGATGATGGATCTGCTCTGCTCTAGCAAAATGAGAGAGAGCGCTTTCTCTTCTTGCTAGACTGTACTTCCCCAAACTGGATCATCTTTGTCAGCTCCATATGCCTGCCATGACACTCAGGTCCTACTGAGTGGTGTTTCTTATATCCTTAAACGAAGGAGCCCCTGTTAGAGGAGAGTAATGCTAACTGCTAGGAAGGAGGAAGGACACAGGAGGCCTAAGATGGAGCTCACCACCAGCCATCCCTGCTGGGCCCCTGTTGCTCCCCTACTGAAAAATTGCATGCTTTTCCCTCTCTCTCTCTAGGACCCCAACATTTGCTGGTGGCCTCTTCTCCATCTCCAAGGCCTACTTTGAGCACATTGGTACCTATGATAATCAGATGGAGATCTGGGGAGGAGAGAACGTGGAAATGTCCTTCCGGGTGAGAGTGAAAAGTGCTTCAAGTGGGGGACCCCAAAATCCAAGGGAACACAGCTTGACCAGATGTCTCTTGAGCAGTGGAAACCTCAGGGATGTCATGTCAGAAACTGAATTTGAAAGGGTGGCTTCTTCCCCCATGGCTCTGGGCTCTGCATGCCCTCTTGCTTCCCTCCAGCCATGCACTGGACTCAGGGATCAGATTGATGGCTTGAACCAAACTCCTGGGTAGAGCTTCTAGGAGAGAAGGGATAAGAGGCGCTATAAGCATTGGACATCAGGGGACTGGGGACTCTTATGAAGTCTGTGGGAAAGGGTTTGGGTGAAGATACAAATAGGTCAGGACCCAGTCACCATTCTTCTCTTAGGAAAAGCAGGCTGCCCTCCCCAAGTGAAAGGATACCTACCCTGGTAGCCTTTGGATTTTCTCTGTGTGCTCACAACAAGCTCTTCATAGCTGTGGGACAAGAGGTGAAACCCATTCTGATGGAGGGGGAACTCTGAGGAATTAGAGAAATTAGAATTAGACAAATCAAGATAGGTCAGGAAGGACTGCTTCTGTGAACTCTGCATGAATCCCCGTGCCAGTGGTAATTTATAAGCAAATGAGCATGTTTATGAGGTCACCTCTCAGGGTCTGGCACATATTAAGCACATAATTGCCATCTGCTGTTACTGTTGCTGTGACTGTGGGCTTCTGTTGCTGCCTTACCAAAATGAATAACATGTACCTCCCAACACAAGACCCAGAAGAGACCAGCAGGTGAACGTCTTCTGCCAGCCCGCTGCATAGAGAAGGGCCACTAGCTATCACTGTAATTCCCAGTATTCTTGTTCATACAGTTCAATGAGCCTCTGATCCAGTCCAGTCTCTCTCCTAGGAAGCTGGCCTACTAAGGGCCCAGCGACTACCAGAAGCCACCTGACTACTGATTGCCCTTGGCTGTTAACTAAAGCATGGAAGCTCTGATTTGGGGGAGCTTGAGTTTCCTGTAACCCTTGGATGAGCTGATAAAAATCGCTTTTCCACGTCAGAAAGCCAAGTGATCAGAGCTCAGAGTAGGCATGCAGCATAGAACTAGCCAGCTGTCTTTTCTCTGAAGTGGGCCCTATACCCTCAGGACTCTACACATTTGATAACACAGAGGGAGTGAGCAAGAGATCCTGGAAATGGGTGGTTGTGCCCCAGGAAGAAGCCTGCTGATGTCTCTTTCTCCAGGAATGGAAAGGGTTGCATTTACCTGAGTTCTAGATCCTGGGGTCTGATGACTTGGGAACTCAGCAGAGCTGCTCAGGGAGATTGCCGCCCACCCCCCCTGAAGGCTTCCTCCTGTCTCCTCTCATGTCAGGTATGGCAATGTGGGGGTCAGCTGGAGATCATCCCCTGCTCTGTGGTAGGCCACGTGTTCCGTACAAAGAGCCCCCACACCTTCCCCAAGGGTACTAGTGTCATCGCACGCAACCAAGTGCGCCTGGCCGAGGTCTGGATGGACAGCTACAAGAAGATTTTCTACAGGAGAAATCTACAGGCAGCAAAGATGGTCCAGGAGGTGAGACACGGTGGTGCCTGGACAGTGTTTGGATGAACAAAGCACAAAATCCCAGGCCTGGCCAGTGTCAGGCTCACCCCATCTCTATCTTCCTGCCTTCCTTCATTCCTCAGAACCCTGCAAGTAGCCCAGTGAAGGGCCCCAGGATGCACTCTCCAAATTAGTACTAAGGAAGGAAGAGAGGTGTCTTTTTTGTCCTGCTGAGGGAATCCCAGTATCCTTTAGAGGGGAAGGGGGCGAAGAGATTTTTGGAAGAACCTGTCACAGAAAGAACAACTCTGATAGGCTCAGAATTGAGACCCAGGACTGACTGGAGAGTCACGGGTGATGAGAGTGTGGTGGGGAGTGGGGTCCTCATGCCAAGGCAGGGGATCAGACATTGCATGTAAAGCTGAGCCAGTAACCCCAGTGAGCAGGAATATGCAAGAGAGAGTAGCTTCAGTGCTCAGTGCTGTCCAGACTACTTCAGCCTAGACAGGAAGGGCCTACACTGTGGAACTGACCCTTTGGGATTGGCTTGGTTGGCAGAATTCCTTCGGTGACATTTCGGAGCGACTGCAGCTGAGGGAACAGCTCCACTGCCACAACTTTTCCTGGTACCTGAACAACATCTACCCAGAGATGTTTGTTCCAGACCTGAATCCCACCTTTTATGGAGCCGTAAGTTAACCTGCCTACCCGTCACCACAGCATCCTTTGAAGAAGTCGAGACCACTAACAGATGACAAACAAGCATTGATTGACTTTTGCTCTCCACCCTTCTTCATCCAGGAGGATGGAGAGGCCAACTGGGGTGCCCTTCAGTAGCTAAAACCCAAAAAGTGGGAAGACTCATGAGTAGTGGGTCTCAGCTGTTAAGTCCACCAGAATCAGCAAGGAGGTGTGTTAAAACAGATTGCTGGGCCCTGTGCCACAGTTTCTGACCCAGACCTGCCTTTTAAACAAGCCCCAGGTGATAATGCTGATGGTCATGCTTGGAGAACCACTGCTCCAAGGGAATCCCCATGGGTGGAGGGCTTCTCAGGGACCTGGCATCCCTTCCTTCCCCACAGAGGGCACCCAGCCCTACCCTTCCCAGCCTCAGGGGCTCTGCACCTGACTCTCCTGCATCTGGGCACAGAGGAAGAAGTCCTGGCCATGCCATCCTGGTTCCTCTCTCTGCTTACCATTGCACAGATCAAGAACCTTGGCACCAATCAGTGTCTGGATGTGGGTGAGAACAACCGTGGAGGGAAGCCCCTCATCATGTACATCTGCCATGGCCTTGGCGGCAATCAGGTAGAAAACATGCTTATCCCCAGTAGGCCTGAGAGAAGCCTGTCACCGGGGCACCTCCTCTCCCCCCACAAGCTCCCTTTTTCTACCCTAAATAGTTCTTTCCTGAGCATAAGGTGGAGGAGATGCAGGAGAGGCTGCTATCTCTGGGGTAGAAAGCTACCAGGCTGATGGGGAAGGATGACACACACGGGCGAGGTCTGCAGTCTGACCCAAGGACACAGCTAGCTGGCATCATGCTGGGCCCTAGAGGATAAGAGAACACTGTCAACCTGGGAGAGCCGAGGATGAGGCTAGCTGCTGGGGGCTGTGGTGAATTGTTAAGCACTTTCCCTCAGCTACACCTATGCTCAGTTTTTATCTTTCAAAAATATTTTTTATTGATTTATTTTTATTTTGTGTACATGAGTATATTGCCTGCATGTTTGTAAGTGCACCCATGTCATGCAATGCTCACAGAGGTCAGAAGAGGGCATGGGATCCCCTGGAACTGGAGTTACCGACTGTTGTTAGCTGCCATGTGGGTTTTGGGACCCAAACCTGAGTCCTTTGCAAGAGCTGCCAGTGCTCTTAACCACTGATCCATCTCTCCAATCCCTCAGTTTTTATCTTTAGGCACCCCCTATCTGGTTCTATTCCTAGCAGCAACCCCCAGACAGCTACTGACTTACAGCTACCTGACATCCTGGGAATTTACCTTATGTCCCACAGTGCCCCAGCAGCACATCCCTGAGAAGTAACTGGTGTCCTCCCATCTACTGTCATTCAGTCATCCAATGCCCAGCTCTGGTAAGAGGTACATAAAAACAGAGCTGAAGCAAGGAAAAGAGTGGCTCAGGGCACTGAACTGACTGCAGGGTGTGTAAATGAAGACAAAGCCATTTGAAGGCAGTTTCATATACAACTGGCTTCTTAGATAATTTTAGGTGGTGCATTGATGAATATTTTTATTTCTATAGTGATAACAAAACCAAATCTAGCAGCTGTTTGTGTTAGCACATGCCTAAAATCCCAGCAATTGGGATCATGAGTTTGAGGCCAGCCTGGCCTACATAAGAGAGATCCAGAGCAGCCTGAGCTACATAACAAAGATTCAATCTCAGAAGAGGAGGAG